CTAGACATGAAAATTATAAAAGGCTGAATAAATTCAGGATCGCTCTGATGGCCTCTCCTCCCACCTCAACCTCAAGAAAGAGGAAGACGGATCTTAACGACTGCAAAGCAACATACACCCCTGTCGGAGGGGCCTTCAAGCCTCTCTGTGGAGATGAGGGAGGATGGCTGCTTTTTAACACATATTCTATGGCTTTTGGAAGGAGAGAGATCCAGATTGCAGAAAGAATGATCAAAGCCAAGGGCGCGCTTTCGATTCCGTCTCTGTCAATTGGCCTAAGATCTTGCTGAACTGCACGTTTCTGCGTGGAAGCGGAGCGGGCGCCAAATTTCAGAGCTCCAGGAAAGCTGCTGTGGGTACATTTCCAACACGAAACCATCACTAGAAACACCTACAGCACGAGGAACATCTAACAGCTGAACAAGTGTTTTTCGTCCCAGACACCAAGATAGGAAATCCAAAACTGCCTGGCCTTTTAGTAGCAAAGCTGCCTTAGCAGGGCTCAGGGTGGGAAATAAGAATCAGACGTCGCTGGACCCACTGTTTTGCTCCTGTGCCATCACCCCAGCCATCACTGCTGGGTCTGTCTCTTCCCCTTGCTCCTTTGTTGCAAACGATGTGGCGGTGGAAGGTGTGCTAGAAGCAGCGGCTATGCAGCGGGTCCCTGGGTTTGAGTCCGGATGTCCCTCTGAATTAAGCCGCATAATCTTGGGCAAGGCTCCATCTTTAGGAGCCTACTATGGGGGTGTGGGCGTGGGAGCTGTGAACCTGTCCAAATAGGCGTGAAAAGGCTTTGCAAACTGACCTCGAGGGGCTCTCCATCTGAGATCTGGGGGTGGGCTTTTAGAGATCTTCAAAGTCTTCAAATTCTATGCTTCCTAAATGCAGAGAAAAAACACTGGAGGGAAAGCCCACTAAACGGTCCAAGATGCTAACTTCCATGGAGGGGAGGAAGACTGAAGGAGGGAAAGGGAGTCTCCACATCATTACTCGTATGCATCCGTATCGCTGGGATTTATTACTCTGACAATGTATTTATATCTTATTTGTAGAAATAAGTTTTTTTTTGAATGAAGATGCCTGCCAAAGTGCTCATGTCTATGATTATGTGCATCTTACTGGGCATTTATTTGGTCCATGAGTTCATCGGGGGCATAGAAAGTGTTAGAGACCTCCAAGTGCTCACGAAGGACACCCTCCTCCCCGCCGGTCCATGCTCCTGCCTTCCCCACCCTGCCCGGGGCTGCCTCCATTGGCGGTCTGTCCAGGTCACAGTGCCTGTCACCACAGCGGTGTCTCCAGGTTCCAGTAACTGCTTCCTGCCCTCGCCCCTTCAGACCTGGGCCGTCACCAATGTCCTGTTACTGGTCCCAGGCCCTGCGCTACCCTTCGCGGCTTTCCTGCCCACACCTTTGAAACAGTCCCTTTATTAAACTCTCCTCAAATTACCCAGTCTGTGTGCGCCATCTGTTTCCTGCTGGGACCCTGACTGCTACAGTATTTTTAATCTGTCTTTGTACCATCTCTGCCCGTACACTCACACGTCCTCGCATACATTCCCTGACACCCTCACGCACGCTCCACACTCAGGCACACACCACACTTACACACTCACCCACAGACTTGCACTCATCCCCTCACAAACACACTCACTCGCTCAAAGACTTGCACAACATTCACATTCACATGCACCACCGGCCGCTCCCAGCACCCCAGGGAGATGTAGCCCTCTGGTTAAAATCCTGCTCCCGTGAATGGAAGGTCCACCTGTGATGGGAGAACTGGCCCTTGTCTGCACACCACCCCCTGCCTCCGGGGTGCCCATCACTGATGCGCCACTGAATTGTGACTCTCGCCAGTTCTTCTTTTTTTTCTTTAGAAATGCTGTACTTGGCCTACTACTAATCCGGATGGACCCACCAATGCCACACTCTCAATGTACTTGGAAAGAGGCTTCGTAAAAGTACCAACTGAAAGTGGTTCCTGGAGAGGTTAGCCGTACAGAATAGATACAGGATTAATAACAAAATCTCTCCACCAAGTTTCAGGTAGGGACAGAGGGCAACTTGAGGCGATCATACCCAAAAAAGATTAATTTCGATGGACGGCACCAGGTAATATGGGTGGAAGTTGAAGGGAGACACATTCTGGCTCAATACAAGGTCATCTTTCAAATAATGGGAGCTGTCAAGGAGAGACGGGCCATCCTGTGAAGAAGGGCCATGTCACAGCGAGACTGATGCAGAAAGAGCTGGCACGAAGGACCTCAAAGTCTCCTTAGATGCCCTTGTAACCTTGGGCAAGTCACTTCCCCTCTGAAATTTCCACTTCCTCACTTGTAAAATGGCCACCTCAGTCTAGGGGTACCCAAGGGGTCCTCGACGACTACGAATCCTCTACATCTCTGATCCTACAGGCAAAGAGCTGCAAGAAGTGGGAAGGGGAGCGCATTTGGAAAGGAGCTGCAGAAGTAATTAGTGATGGAAATGCGAATCTCTAGCTGCCTTCCGTCTGAGTGTGCAGATTAAAAAACAAGGCTGACTCTTGGCTGAATGACTGCGTTCCCTCCAGAGCAAATGGCAGCAGTAGGATGTTGAAAAAAATCTGGCCTCTGTTAGAGAGGGAGCAGCAGACCAATTTGGGAGACAAAGGGCCAGACCCTGAATTGTGCCTCGGGCAGCCAGCTTGTCCTTTAGGGTCTATGGGCCTCAGCTTGTTGGTTTTTTAAGTAAGGATGAAAGTTATCAGCCACATGGGCATGTGGGCATGCCTTTTTTTTTTTCCTTTGGATTAAGACATACTAAAGTCCCAAGCCTTCCTGGCTGCATGGAAATCATCCAAGAAAATGTGTTTGGGTCCCAGTTCCCATATCTACTGGCCATGTGACCTTGGGAAGCTGGTTTCACCCCGTCAAGTCTTTTTGTTTTCTCATCTGCGGAGGGGATCGCGGCATGTACTCCACAGAATGGGTAAGGGACAAGGCGCCGAAGCACACGAAACACCTGGCACACAGAGTGGCAAGATTGTGCCCACAAATAAGGAGATTTGTGGGATATTAAGTCTGACTATCATCAGAAACTGCAGTGTGGCCTGTGCTGAACCTGGCTGTGACCTTTATTCTCTGCAGCCTCTGCCACATGAGGGTGGTGGGTGGGCACCCAAGGGAGGGATCTGAGGGAGCTTGGGCAGAGTCCTCAACTTTGTCAGGGCTCCCAGATATTCCCCCATCCCAGGGCTATTCTTTGGGCCCTCTGGAAATTCTTTTAAACTACGGGGTGATGGGGGGCGGTGTCAAAATAAGCCACTTTTCCCATTCTTACTCTGGCCTAGTGGTCTTGGTGAGGGGGTTAGTTATCTGGGGTCCACACCTCTCAGCTCCCCATAGGCCCCTGGTGGTTAGGCTCACAGGGTTCTTAGACATCCTTGGAACTGTCTGCCCAAATACAATCTAAGCTGATTTAGGACCGGGTCCCCCTCAGGTCCTGCTGTGTAGGGGTGGCAGTGGGGGGGGGCCAGTAAGGCGAATTGGGGTGGAGAGGCAGCCAAAGCACAGGACCCCACACCATTCCTTCTGTAAATGAAAGAGCTTGTTCTAGGGGCACCTGGGTGGCTCAGTGGTTGGAGTCTTCATAATAGTTACATCCTTCATAAGCTCTCCTGCCAAGTAAGTTATTTGGGAAACTCAAGAATTCCCACTGGCCACAGGGAAGTTATGAAGATGAAAACTTTGCATTTTAGATCCTGAGAATTTTATTAATATGTTGCTATTTTAAGCCACCATACAAATATCCTTTGTATTGATTTCTGTGCGATGCACCCAGTGAATAAATATGCCAATTTCTGCCAGGGAGCCGAACAGTATTTTTAACCTACTTTAAAATATGTGTTGTTTCCTATGGTTTTTTAAAGTTTGGAGTTGATTATGAAAGCACTTTCAATTTTAAAAAATTCTTCTTTCCAGAGAATATACATATATATTTTAAACTATTAAATATAAAGTGCAATGGGATGTAGTTTCAGATGCAGTTTTGAAATCACAATAAAGGTAAAGAAAAAAAAAAAGAAAGGTAAAATGAGTTTTTTTTTTTTGCTGTTGTGTGCCATTATATTGGAAAACACTACCACCACCACCACAAAGAAAGTTCAAGTAATAATTCTTTGAATCTAAAACTGAAATATATTCTTACATGTACTTCCCCCCTCATCACTGCCTATTTAGCCAGTGTAGACTGTTTAGTGTATGACACTGTTAATGTAATCAGGGCCCTACTAGAAGTTTTAGTGTCTTCACAAATCAAGGGAAAAAACCAAGCAGAGGGCTGAAGCTTTTCACACCTTGGCTATGGATCCTCATGATAATGACACGACTGCCATTTCGTAGACTGGGGTAGATCAAGGGCTCGTTCAGGGGCTTTTGTTTGGTTCCAAATAGTTAGCCCTGGGTTATTCTCTTTCCCTTTTTTTCAAAACGGGTGATTGGTGGGGGCTTCGGGGAGAGATTCCTTATGTCTCAGGGCCATTGGGAATATAAACTGGATGATATTTAAAGACTGTTTGGAAGTTTGGGTTGGAAGCACTGAAGGCCATGGTGGTTGTTATTTGTGACTCAGAAGAAACTTCCTGGTGATGAACAGAAACACAGAGTTTCCATCTTGTAAACTGATACCACTATTGTCTTTGCTTTGTGGATGGAGAAGCCTTAGAAAATCCAGGCACAGGAGAAGGGCTGCCCTGGGAGCTCCTGGGGCACCTTACAGCTTCAGAGCCAGAGCTAAGAAGGGCTCAGCATCATAGGATGCACGTTCTGGGAGACCTTGGTCACGAGGTCTGACTGCTGATTAGAAAGTCCTTCCCAATTTTGAGCCTAAACCGGCCAGGGGGATGCATGAGGCCTTTTCTTCCTGGCAGGCTTTGCGGCTGCTGGAGGTGTGACTCTTTGGAGCAGCCTGTGCTCCTCCTCCCCACGTCCAGGAAACCCGTCCCAGGAAACCCGGGATTACCTGAAGTTGTAGCCTGGGGACACGCTGCTCTTCTCTGAAACGCCATCCAGCCGGGTGAAGGAGTACTTGGGGATGCACTGATCCCAGGCCCTGTCCAGGTCACACACCCAGCCGATCTTAATACCGAGGACTCCACCCTGTGGAAAGGCGCCAGCTGTGAGGAGGATGCGCTGTCTCCACGGCCCGCCAGGGTGGGGACCGGGGGTGGTGACACACAGACACCAAATTCTTCCCATCCTCTAGGTGGAGGGGAAGTGATTTGCTCCCCCCCGGGGTTGCTTAGGAAACAAAGTGCTGCAGTCTGGGGTGTGGACCTTTGAGTCTCTAAGTCCTGCTTTTGTCTCGCATCCCTTAGCAGTGATCCAGGATCCCTTAGCCATTGGGGGTGATGCTTTTTCAGGGCGCTAAGGTGAAGCGTAAAGGCCCAGAGGGGAGACAGAGGCTCGGCGCCCCGCAGCCCCGGGGCGGGAGACTGCGCTGAGGCTGCAAGCCCGGTGCAGGCCCGTGTGCGGCTCCACTCCGAGGTGGCGCTGCCTGGCCGTGGCGCCCTCCCCGGCCCTTCCACCCTCCACCGGCTAAGCGGCCCCCAGCGCTTCCTTAGGTCCTCACCGTCCTGGCCAGTTTGGCGAAATCCTGCCCCGCAAACTTGACCACGTCCCCCACCCGCAAGATGGGGCAGAAGGGGGCCTTGTCAGGGTGGAAGCGGCACGTCTTCATGTCGGCGGCGGTCAGGTTGGGAAGGAGGTTGCCCCTGCGGAGGAGGAGAGGACAGAAGCAGGGTAAGGGGATGGAGGAGCAAAGGGAGGTGCGCATGAGTGTCCCTAGCCTTCCGGGTCCAGGTGGGAGGACCCGGGAGCTGTGTCTTGGACACTCCAGGTGGGAGGACCCGGGAGCTGTGTCTTGGACACTCCAGGTGGGAGGACCCGGAGCTGATGTCTCAGACACTCGCGGGCTCCGGCACCTCATCTCTGCATCTCCTTGCAACCCTGTCCCCTTCCCTCCGTATTAGGGTTGAGTGTGCTTGTGTCTGCTAGCCCCTGGCTCCCAGGCTGGGGAGGGGAGCGCCCAGGGGGCAGGAGTCACGCCTGATTTCTCTGGCACCTCTGTGGTGCCTGGTGTCACCCTCTCTCTGCATATGCTCGATGTCCACCAAGGACTTGCCAGATGAAAGAGTCATAGAAGTCCTGACTGGCCAGTGGAGAAGGGACACCGCCCTTGGGCTTGAGGTGGGAGGGAAGAAGTGGGATGGGTGCCTTGGGCCCCAACCTTCAGAGACATGGGGGCTCCAGGCCCAGGCTGAGCCTGTCCCTCACCCGCCTCAAGCCTCAAGCAGAACTCCCATCTGGGTTCTGAGCCCCAGAGAGGTGGACCTCAGAGCCCACCTAACACTCGGTGCTCAAGACCAGCTTGGAGATTGGGAACAGGAGCCCCAGGGAGATGGTGAGAGGGCAGGAAAGCACAGAGAATTGTGTGGATGGGCTTCTCCACCCCTCTGAAAACAGGCTGGCAGGGTGGGGTGGGTGCTCTGCTTTCTGCTTTAGGGAGGGAGCTGGGACTCACTTCTCAAAGTTGAAGAGGGGGAACCGGATGCTGTTCTTGATGAAAATGGTGAAGTTCTCGGCTTCCATCATGACAGGCCTGTGGGTGAGAGCAAGGCGGCCTTCGCTTCTTGGGAAGAGGAAGGGGAAGCAAGGGGTTTTCCCCAGAGGGACCACCTGGTCACAGCCTCTCCGGAGCCCAGGGCTGGAGGGTGGGGGGAGGTAGGAGAGGCGGGGGCAAGGTGCCATCCTGAGGCCACTTCCCCAGGGGCCTAGGAGCGGACGCTGCTGGGGGTGCCCACGAGACCCTGTGCAGGCTCAGAGATGCAGAGCTGCGCCTATGGGCAAAGCAGAGCTGGGGTGGGGGCCTCACATTTCCACCGTGTCCACCTCGGTGGGGCACCAGCCCTGGATCTCACAGGTCCGGAGCGTAGAGCTGTAGTTCACGCAGCGGCCCGTGAGGATCCCTGTGAGGGGGAGCCACCGGGCTGGGTGCCTGCCTGGCCCTTTGCTACCCTCTTAGCCCACCCCACCTCTCATTGGAGACCACCTCCATTCCGGGACCCCACAGGTGGAGGGGAAGTACAGGGAGGTCAAGGGAGGTGGACCTGTGGTACAGGAGCCCTGCCCAACTCTCTCCCTCCTCTCCTCCTGAGCTCTAGACCAGGCCAAGGGGAGGAGACAGGCTTCCTCTGACACGTCCCACCAGGCCCAGCCACCCCAGCCACCCCGAGGGCCCTGTTTCCTTGCTCCCCAGGCAAAGGGTGCCCTTCCTTACCTCTGAGTCTTTGCAGCAACTGTTCCTTCTGCCTAGAATGTTCTTTTCAAAGCCCTCCTAGTTGGCAGCTGCCAACTCTTTCCCATCCTTCAGGGCCCATCTAAAATGTCACTGCCTCTAGGAAGCCATTTGGAGCCACCTACCTGGAAGCATTGTCTCTCCCTTCCCCAGCTAGCTCCCTGCTGTTCCTCCCCGACAGCACTTGCTCCCTCCCAGGGCACCTGTCTGTCACCAGCATCCCCGGGGTGTGGGCTCCCCTGGGAGCAGCCCCCATTGGGTCTGGCACACAGTGAGCACCAGTACATGCCAGTTCCCACTCTTTCTCCCCCATGGGGGATGTGCTGTCCTCCAGGGTCCCACGAACACTCTGGGGGCGCGAGGGGGTGGGAAGGGCTGCACTCACCCCCACCCGGGAAGCGCCGAGGCCCACACTGGCTGTCCGACACACAGCGATACTTCTCCTCGCTCTGTGGGGAGACAGGTCTGCAGGTGGGTGTAGGGCCCTGAGCTGGCCCCGGATGAGCCCCTTGGCTCCCAGTGCTCCCCCATAACCAGGGGCCTTTGGGAGGTGGCAGAGGCTGGACCACGGACCTCTGCCTACACTCCTGCCCCTCCCTGCCACCCCTCTGCACCCCCACCGTTTCCTTCCCTGACCTGCTTCATCCACCCTCCCTCCTCCCCTCACCTCTGGGCAGAATCCTTGCATCTGGTTTTCAGTGACTATCATCTTGGTGATGATGACAAAGACAGAGGTGCCCTTGGTGGGAGAAGGGAGAGGAAAAAATGCACCAGTGGCAGCCCATGAGGCGAGTAGTACTGTTATCCCCACTCTACGGATGGGGACACTGAGACATAGGGTCAGAGATGAGGCCAAGGTCACAGGGCTAACCAAGGGCAGAGGGGGGTTCAAGTCAGGTCCTACCACCCACCTTGCCTCTCTTGCTCCCTCTGTGTGTGTCCTGCTGATCTGCAGGCTGAGTGTGGCAGGGCCGGAGGGGACCCTGCTGTCCTGCTGCCTAGTGATGCTCTCTGGAAGGCAGCCGCCCTTCCCCCCACCCTGCACCTCCCAGCCGCTGGGGAAGGGGTTTGCTGGTCCCTGATGCCACACAACCTGGCTCAGGGATCTCACTGGCACTCTCCTTGCCTTGGCCCAGCATCTGGGCAACCACGTAGCACCCTGGGGTAGGGGGGCCGTACCTGGGGTGGGGTCACATAATCAGACACGTCCATGACTCTGTTGGCATAGCGTCCAAAGCCTTTCACCTTGGTGACAACCGAGGACTCGATGGCTGTGTCCCGCACCTGGTAAGCCTTCTCGTGCAAGAAAACCCACCTGGGCAGGAGAGCAGGGATGGAGAACGAGAGAGAGAGAGAGAGAGAGAGAGAGAGAGAGAGAGAGAGAGAGAGAGAGAAGGGTCTAGGCCCGTGGTGCAGAGGCTGGAGGGCTTTCCTGCCCCCACGGTAGACCAGCCACACTCGGTGTCTGGCCAGGGGAAGGCCTTTGCTGGAGGGGAGGGACCTCCCCTGGGTTAGCTTACACTGGTGTTTGTCCATCTTTCCCATGTCCTGCTTTCCGAACATGTTTAGACTTTTTTCCCCTAACCCCCCCAACATGAAATTTTAATACCACAGATATCAGCTTATGTGCTGTATGTACATTTGTGTTTTACATGAGAAGAGTGAGATTTTTTTGTAATCCCTCAAGCAGATTTTCACCCCCTTGGGTCCTAGGCCTCTGGCCCTGAGCATCCCAGGCTTTGCTCGAGGCGGGGGGGGGGGGGAGGGTGTCCCAAGTGCAGGCACATAGTAGTAGTTCAGTAAACAAATCAGTGAAGGCATCTGGGAGCTGAGCCGGGTGCTTGGCAGGGGCTGCATCTGTGCGGCGCCAGGTGAGAGGCGGGAGGAGGCAGGAGCGGCGGCTGCCCAACCCTCCCGGCAGGTGGACCTGAGTCGGGGCGCTGGCCCGGCGGCAGGGCTATTCCTTGGGCTGTGCTGCCACCCCGTGGACGTTTACCTCTGCCTCCCTCCTGCCGCAGGCCCGCCCTCCCTCGGGACCAGGAGGGAGGGCCTCCTTGCTTCTTTCCACTCGCACCCCCTCCCGGCTCGGCAGCCCTTCCCCAGCAGCGAGAAGAGCCTCTCCGGGCCTGCGGGCCTGCGAGGGGCCGCCTTTCCCATCACAGCCCTCCAGGCTACAGCCACCCGCCGCCTCAATAGCACATTTCCACCCTGTGGCCCGTCCCGTTAGCTCCAGGCAGCAGATGCTGCTGCGGTCCCCGGTCCCCACGGTGCCGCTGAGAGGAGGCCATCAGGTGGGTTTGGGAGATGCCGCGCCCTCATGATTTTGGAGAGACACCGGTGACGTTTTGTGGAATCCAGGAGCGCACTTTGGGAAATGCTGGGCCAGGGTCATTTTCTGCCTGCCAACCAGGGAGGCACAAGGTTGAGGATGAGCCGCAGGAAGGTGCTGGAGACCAAGTAGTGGAGAGAACACAAAGGTGGGGGAGTGCGGGGCTGGGAAGCTGACCTGAGGACTTCTAAGGAGGGAGTTAGGACTTCAAGCCCGGGAGCTGTCCAACCCCAGAAAGTTGCCCAAGAGCAGGCTGCCTGCAGGAGGTGGTGAGCTCCACGTGCCAGGGGAAGACTCAAGGACACGCGTTCAGGTGGGGAGCGGTTGAACTGGGTGACCTCTGGAGTCCCCGTAGAGGGGAACAGCTCCCAGGTCATGCGGGGGGGGGTCACAGCCAGTTGTGGGACGGGCACCCCTCTGTCATGTTCATGTGCACACAGGCTGACACTTGCAGGAGATTCTGTTGAGTGTTCCGCGAGAGGGCTGGGAGTGTCCCATCGTGAGGCTCTTGAATTCCCAATGTTCTCTCCAGTGGGACAGGAGTGGAGGTGTCACAGCCGGTGGCAAGTGGCTCCTAACCTGTCCCCCATTTTATTCAGAGCAGGCCGAGTCCTGAGGCACGCACCATTAGGAACAGTTCACAGGCTTCTGTGAGGCTCTTATGAACACCTCACTGGTGTGGACGCGCCTGTGGTGCCGAGTGCTTTATTTTCCTAGCACTTTTCTCCTTTTTTTTTTTTTTGGAAGGGGAGGGGTTTTGTCAAGGTCTCCTAAGGATGCATGGCTCACATAGAAATCTCATCCACCTTCCTACATCCAAATGAGTATTACCAGCTCCTGGGGGGGGGGTCACCCTGTGCAGTGGAGGGCATGAGGCCAAGGGCCCAAACTCCCTGCTCCCAGCTGAGCGCCCCTCTGTCCCCAGGACAAGCCACAGTTGCAATCTGCCCTCTGGAGCCTCAGTGTGCCTGGCCACAGAACGCACACATCTCTTAAGGGGGGCATGGAATGCGGTGGTTTCCTAAGGTCCCTTACCCAGGAACTCTTGCAGATGAGAAGCAGGGTGCAGATTATTATCACCAGACCAACATAGCCCGCTAAGTGCTCTCTGTGGTAAGGGTTCCTAGAGTCCTTAGCACAACCCGGTGAGACACCTCTGTTGTCATCCTTATGTTGCAGATAAGGAAACAGAGGCACAGAGTGCTGTGCTGACTTGCCAAGCTGGTACGTGGGTTCCAACCGTGGACATCCTGCTCAGAACCACCTCGCGCCTTGACCTGGATCCTGGTCCTGGTGGTGTTGGCCCTGCCTGTCACTAGGGAGCACATCTCCAGCCCTGGGAAAGTCTCAGGAGGAAGGGCCATAGGGTTCGGGAAGACCAAGGAACCTCTCCTTCCTCCTCCTTCAACGCTCCTCCTTGTGCCCAGTGGGTAGGAGAGGCCACATCAGAATCTCTCTCTGAGTTAAATAATAAGCGGAAGAATTTCAGTGGCCCCTTGGGGCCCAAGGACGTCACTGGGGCAGCTCAAAATAAGGGAATGCTTCATTTCCAGAATAGAAGGGCTGAGTCTGTCTCCAGAGGCCAGGGCTGAGGAGATGGGGCAGGACCCATCTCTTCAATTCTTGGCATTTACTCTGCTGCTCTGACTTATTTTTTTCTCGTGTTCCTGGTTTATTATTTATAGAGCGGAAGGCGGGTGGCAGCTCCTTGGCAGGTGGGATATGCAGGAAGGAGGCCAGCACCCTTCTGTCCACCCCCAAGGAGTCAGGGAGGAGGCTGGGGAGGGGGCGTGCGGAGTGTGTGCTGTGTGTGCCAGGAGGAGAGGGGCCTCTGAGGAAGGTGTGAGCCCGATGGCGGGGAAGCAGGAGGTGTGTTGGGGAATCTGGGGAAATGATAGTTGCCGCCTGTTAGTTGGTCTCCCGTTGCAGGCAAGGCACTCGGCATGTTAGTCCTCCTTGCTGCACTCTGAAACCCACTTTCCAGATACAAGGACTGAGACTTAGAGACATGAGGTGACCCGTCAATGCCCTGCTCCTAGCCGATATCACAGTGAGGCTTCCAAGTAGGGGGTCCTCCTCCTTCCGTGGTCTCTCCATCATGGGGCTGCAGATGGGGGCAGGTAGGGGAAATAAGAGTGAATGCCGCTCCTCTCTGCATCTGTAATATGGGGGGGTTCCAATAGGTCTTCCCACCACCCTTGTTGCCGAGTGTCCCATGGGGCACCTCAGGGTGCTATCCTGGGCTGAGGCGATGGGGCGGTGGGCCAAGAAGGTGGGATTCCAGGCCCCTCCCCTGAAACCAGAGCAGCTCCCCTGTGTAACTGCCTTATGTATTGAGCTTCTTTATAGGATTCAAAACGAGGCTTGGGGCCCCCGGGTGGCTCAGTAGGTTGGGCGTCTGACTCTTGATTTCGGCTCAGGTTCTGATCTCAGGGCCGTGGGATCGAGCCCCACATCTGGCTCATGCTCAGCATGGAGATTGCTTGTCCCTCTCCCTCTGCTCCTCCCCTTGCTCTTCCAACCAACTAACTAACTAACTAAATAAATAAATAAATAAATAAATAAATAAAAATTTTAAAAAGATTCAAAATGAGGCTGAGTATTATGAACCAAGTGGGACAACTGTGCAAATAGTGAGTCTGTGGATTGGGCCTTGCAGGGGGAGGATGGGACAGGGAGGGCAGGGCTGTGAGGAGGCCGAGGCACCATCAGGCACCGCAGGTTCTTCTGATGACAGAGCATCAGACGGCCAGGAATGTCCCTTTGTCAGGAGGTGGCTTCCTTCAAGGACCCTGCAAACCAGCTCAGGCCATCAAACAGCCAGCAGTTCAGGAAACTCGGTAAACTCAGTTCCCAGGGGTCTCCTATTTCGTCCTCAGCTTCCATAGGATCCCCCAAAGAGACTGGCTCTTTGGGAGTCCCACCGCACTGAGGAGACTGGGGTCACCACCTAGATCCAGGGAAAGCCATGAGAGAAACATCACTGGCCTCTCTGTGTACCTGGACGGGTAAAGGACACCAGGGATGAAGTGGGATCAACTCCAGAAGGCAGCTGAGGCTGGAGCAGGGGTGAGAGCATGTGTGGACATGACTAGCTGGTGTGCTGCTGTAAATGCATGAGAGAAACAGTTGGCTCATGGGACATGTGTCCTAGTAGGGCTGTGCATCGGGTCTACCTCACGGGGATCATACAGAAGACATTCAAGTGCTACTTAATATCACAGCGTCACAAATCCTTCTCAATTCTACTGAGTCAGGCCCTCATCATCTCTCTCAACAAGCCTGCACCACCCTTCACAGGGTATCCTGCCTCCACTCCTACCCACTCCCATCCCTTGGTGAGTTAGCCAGAGCAATCTTCCCAACTCAGATCTCATCATCTGTCTTTCTCTGGCTCTTCCTCTCTCCTTACCTGCCTCCCCGCTCACACACGCACACACACACACACACACACACACACACACACACACACACACACGGTTCCCAACCCATCCTTTGCTCCTGGTAAAAGTGAAAGCTCTGAGGGCTTCTGAGGTCTGGCTGGGTCTGTGATCCTACCCTCATCTTACACCACCCTTGGCTTTACTCCCTCTGCTCTGCTGTGGCCATACAGACCTTCTTTTCCTCTCCCCATTTGCCTGGCTCTTTCCCTTCGCAGAGCTGGTGTCTCTGCCTTGAACCCTCTTCCTTCCCTTTCTTTCCTGGGTTGCTCATACTCATCCTTCAAATCTCGGCTTGGGCAGCATGTCTCCAGGAAACCTTCTCTTAGGTCCCCGACTGGGTCAAACACCTCCATACCAGCAGCTCTCCTGGCACTCCCTGTGCACGTCTCCTTCAAATTTTGAGCCACTGTTAAACTGTACATTTGTTTGTGGACATGGTTTGATTTATGCCCATCGCTTGCATTGCAAGCTCCACGAGGGTGAGGGTGCTGTCTGCTTTTGCCCGTGTTCTATGCTTGGTGCACAGTGCCTGGCATGAAGAAATGCTCGAGGAATTTCTGCTAAATCAAAGACAATGGATTCGTGAAGTCCTAATGGTGCACAGGCTCATGTGCACAGAGATGGGGCTCAGGCCAGGGGGCCAGGATACACGCTGTGAGGATGTAACTGGAAGGAGCCTCTCCGTGGGGAGCTGTCAGGCTGGGAGATGGATGGGGTTGGATATGGAGACGCCAAAGAGCCTCTCATGCTTGTTCCTGCAGGCCAGGCTCCAGCCCCAAGGATCAGGGCATCAGATCATATCACGGCGAGGGAGGGACAGGGGCAGTGGGAGAGCAGAGCAGGCGGGTCCAGGAGCCACTGTCTACCTTCCATCAACCTTCTGCCCGAAGCCAACAGAGCCAGAAATGTGCTGAGGCAGCCTTTGGACTCACCCGGACCACCACACCGTCTTGCGGCTCTAAACAGTTACAGCCTCGCATATATGCGTGAACGCAGAACATTTAGGAGTCAGCTCCTAGCCAGGCTCTGGAGATGAGGACACGGCACGTTTGCAAACATTCCAGCTCACACAACCTCGAAGCTGGAAGTAAACTTCAAGGCCAAAGCTCGAATCTCTTCTCTCACCTCCCTGAGAGGAGCACCGGCTGGGTGGCCTTGCCTCCAGCAGCCACATAAACGAGTCGTACCGGCTCCCGCAAATCACGCAGGGAAAAAAAAATCTCTTAATCCATACGTGCCCACTTTTCCACGCACACACCACTCCGACCCTTCAGGCAAGGGGGCCCATGCACACGCAGCTCCGGCCCACACGCACGCACACCGGATGTCTTCTTGGACTGGTTTGAATTAACTCATGACAGCCGTCAGTGGTTTGCTCTCTCACACACAGAGCCATTGTCTCAAGGGATGGCTTGAGACTAGAGGCAGGCGCACTGGGAAAGAAAGATCTAGAGGCTTCTGCCTGTCGTTTCTGGCGTCCAGCAGTGTGTGCAAATGACCACAAGAAGGAAAGAAATTGTGTGTTCCCTCCCCCTGCCATTGTCTCCTCCATGGCCCTTGGCACACACACACACGCGTGTGTGTATGTGTGGGGGTGGACGCCTCTGAAGGTAGGTGCTGAGAGGGGGTGTTCAGACCACTGGCTCTCAAGCAACTCCCGGGATGGGTTATATGGCGCAAAGTTAGGTAGCAGCAAATTCACGCTTTCTGACAAAGAGGAGTGTTTCTGGATTCGTGAGGAGGGACCCGGTATCGTGTTCAGAAAAGCCACCTTTCCCCGGAGCAGCTCTTCCCTTGAGCGTTATCCGTGCCCTCGTCTCTCCCCCTGCCCAGGGCGCAGACATCCTGCTTTGTCCTCCCCTCCAAGCTCAAGGGCTTCTCCCCTTGCCCCCTTCTTTCACCAACTCCTCACGCCAGGAGGGGACTCCCTCATTCCAAAGTGTTCTAGTTCTGTCCTTCCCACCTCACCGTTGACCTGGTCACCCCATCCCCATCTCCCTTGTGTCGGTGTCTTCTCTTCGCCTTTTCTGTGCTCCCTCTTCTTTTTTGAGACCCCAAAGCATTGGTTAGGGAGAATGGGAAGGCATGAGGGCAGTCTGTTCTCTGGTGGGAGTAGGAAAGGAAGGAGAGAGGGTCACCTGGGACATCTCCTGGCTGAGGGTGGCACTGGGGCAAGAACTCCACTTCTTGGGGTGTGTGCCTGGAAACCACTCTCTGACTCCAGAGGATTTACCGGGGAAGAGGACTAATCTGGGGACCAGATCCCTGACTCCGTAGAAGAGACTGTTTCTTCCAAGAGAGGAAAGGCTCAGGCAGCTGGACAGCAACAGTGAGCGGACCCCAGGCAGCAGCACCCCCCACCCCGCTAGGACCCAAAGGGACTCACCCCACAAAGTAGGAGATGATCAAAAGCTGGACTGCCCGGTTGATGACCCCAATGGTCCAGCTCTTCACAACCACCGACTTGGTGGTCTCGTAGGTGAAGAAATCTGACACGCAGTTCATGCTGAGAGAGCGCTCGGGGGCCACTCAGGAGGGACCCAGTGGTGGCCTCGGGAGGGACAGGTCCTCGGGACAGGGAGACAGAGCTCAAAGCCTGGAGGGAACCGCTTGGAGGGGAGCCTGGTTCGTTAAGTCAGGAGACCCTAGCGCAGCACCCAGGCTCTCTCTGCTCTTGACACCCTGGGCTGCCAAGAGTCCAAGGCCAGGGCGGGGGGGACCCCCTTTTTGTTCATCTCCACCCCACCCCCCTGTGATGTCACGGCAGGGGTGGGGTCTCCAATCCCCGCTCCTGATTGCCTGGGATGCAGCTGGCTAGGGCCCTCTGGGAGTCATGTTTTATCTGCACTCTGTCTACCCTTTCTTTTCCGTGCTGCATCTTCCTCCCTGCTCACCAGCCGCCTCACGCTCTCCTTAAAGCTCCCTGCAGTGTCCCAGCCCCCCCCCCCCACCGAACCGCCTTCCCCAGGCTGAGTGCCTGCCTCATTGGTGACTCTTCCCAAAGCCACGCAATTCAGTGGCCATCCGCTCCCTTTCTGAGTCGCCTCCAATACCGTGGGTCAGGGGGAAGGGTCTCTTGAATATTTCTCTGGATCTCCTGGGAGGGAGTCGTAGAGTTCATGTCCCTAACTCAGGTTGGCAGTGGCTGAAGCTTGACCCGCAGCATAGCGTTAACCACATTGGAGTGTTTGCTTTTACTTTGCTTTGTTTTCCTGTGAGTTTCCTTAACTGAATCGTTTGTTAGATAACATGCTCCTGGGAGGCTGGGGCTGTTTCTGTCTTGTTCACTAGTTTTCTAAAATCCTAGAACCGGGTGGGGGTTCGGGCCATATTGAATGTATGCTGCTGGACAGGGCTGCGTGACCGTTTCCCGGAGGTTAGGGTCGAGTTCAGGGAGCAGCAGTGCATGCCCGCTGCCTCTCAGGCCAGCGTCGGGTTAGCAAGCTGGCGGAACCAAGTCAGATTGTCAGGAAGTCTTGAACTTAAATATTCTGTCCTAATGTCTTCACGTAGGACAGGTGCCACCAGTCGTTCTGGATGTAGACTCATCGTGATTAGGGCAGAGGAGAGCTGGACCGGGTGGGGTAATAAAGAGATTTGGGGGCCCTGGGCAAATCCTCTTTGGGCCTCAGTATTCTGATCTGCAAAGGAGGTAGCAGTGGACATACTCAACATTTCTCCCAGGCCTGACCTCCTCTGATTTGATAAGATGTGCCATCACGCTGATGCCGAGATCCTCCCTCTGCCATCCACGCTGGTGCGGGGACCCCCCTGCCATCTACACTGGCGTGGGGACCCCTTTCTTCCATCCACGCTGCTGTGGGGACGCCCCTCTGCCATCCACGCTGGTGCAGGCACCGGGGACCCCCCCCCCGGCCATCCACGCCAGTGCGAGTACCCCCTCTGCCATCCACGCTGATGAGGGGACCCCCCCCGCCATCCACTTCGGTGCGGGGACCCCCCTCTGCCATCCACGCTGGTGCGGGGACCCCCCTGCCGTCTACACTGGCGTGGGGACCCCTTTCTTCCATCCACGCTGCTGTGGGGACCCCCCTCTGCCATCCACCCTGATGCGGGGACCCCCCCCTGCCATCCACTTCGGTGCGGGGACCCCCCTGCCATCCACGCCGGTGCGGGCACCGGGTCCCCCCCTGCCATCCGGCCGGCGTTTGGAATCAGGGCTCTGCGGTGACTGTGACCCCCCGCCCCGGCCCCGCGGACCCCGCAGGCCACCCCTACATGGACTGCGGGCTTCGGGAGGGAAGTTTTGGGTGCGGACAGAGAAGCCCTTTCAAAGAGCATCCGGTGCCGTGTGGCGGGAGGACGGGACAGTCACTGCGACACGACACCCCGGCCCCCTGCTCCCCAGGACCGTCCCGGGCGGGACGCGGGAAAGGCGCAGGCACGCGTCCGCGGGAGGTCGGACAGGAGACAAGTGCACGGCTTCTCCCCAGGACCCCGTCCTCCCCTCAACAGGTGTGACTTTTAAAGAAGGAGCCCTACGCGCCGGCATCTCCGCCTCGGGCTCCCCGCAGGGTCCTGACCCGCACGCGGCCCTCCCCTCAGGTCCTCCAGGCCGGCTGGCGCTCTAGGCGGCCGCCTCGCAGGCGGGCCGGGCTCGCGTCTCTCTAGCTCGCTCGCTCTCTCTATGGTCCGTGCACCGCTTCCGGTGGCGGGCCGCGGGGCCGCGCACGCGGGAAAACCTTCCCCAGCGTCCCCCCCGTCCCCCTGTCCCCGCCCCCCCTCCCGCGTCCCCCAGCGCGCCCACCGCCCGCACCTGGGCCGTCGCGAGGCTGCAGCTCGAGGAGGTGGGTGGTCGCCGTCGCGTGCCCCGGGAGGCTGCGGGCCTCGCTCCCCCCTGCGGGCCGCCCGTGATGGGCCGTTCCGCGTTCGAATCCACGGGCGGCGGGCGAATCCATTTTAGGGGGCGGGGGGGGGCTTGGGCCCGGGCCGCGGCGCGGCGGGAGCGCCAGGAGGGAAGCCTTGCCCTCGGAGCCGGGTCGCGAGCGGCAGAGGTGCAGCCCCCGGGGTTCCGCTGCTCGTTGCCATGGCGCCCGCTGGAGCGCCCCGAGCGGGCGTCTGGTCCCGCTGTAAGCGCGACTCCAGGCCGGGTTCCCCAGCCGCGGCTGGGCCTGGCTCCTGGAGGTTTGCAGGGCCTGCCGTGGGGTCCCTGGCAGACGAGATCCTGACACATCCCAGGTGCAGCCGGGGCTTGCCACCTGGCTCCATCCACGGGCCCAGGGAGGTGCTGCCTTGGATGTTTGTCTACCCACCCCCCCTTCTTGAATTCAGATTCCCAACCTGCGGAGTATCTGCACACCCACCCAGGAGTTGGGGCCCAGCTCCCAGTTGAGGCCAACAGGGGCTGATCAGAATGGCGGAAACACTGGAGTTCAACGACGTCTATCAGGAGGTGAAAGGCTCCATGGTAAGAAGGGCGTGGGCTTTTCGATAGGCTGAGAGATGGAAGGAGAGAGTAGGCTTTTTATCCATTATCCATGATGTTGCTATTTTGGAAAAAGAGTCCGAGTCGAATGTGTAGTTGGGTGTTTTCCCCAACAAAAGGCAATGCCTGCAAATCTCCCTACCGGGTCCAGTGGGGTCACGTGGCCAAAAACCCGTTGTAAGTCGAAAATACCGTTTGAGTAAAAAAAAAAAAAGAAAAGAAAAGAAAAGAAAAGAAAAGCACAATAATGTTTCTAACCTGATGAACAGGGCAGGTTAGTCTTACCCACTTTAAACAGGCCCAGAGTGTTTACGTTGGCGTACGCTTCGGCGCAACCATCACAAGGTTTATTTTATGATCGAGTTTGGACACCTTATGTGGTTTATGAAATACCGTCCTGAGAGTGAAACAGAATGAGTAGGGAATGGTTGGGTATCGGTTGTGGCCTGGTGGTGATCAACCCGGGTGACTGTGTGGCTGGCTGGGAGCTATGGTTCACTGCCACTGCCCCAGCGTCCTAAGGGGATTATATACCACCTGCTGCTAGCTCAGGAAAAGATACAAATTATGGTTTCTGTTCCTTGCATATTGTTTTCACACACCGTCGTAAAGTTGAAAGATTGTAAGTTGAGCCACCGTTACTCAAAAAGCATCTGTGTAGGAGTTAGAGGATTGCAGACTTTGAAAGGGACCGTCGTCGTGCGCTCCATTCCCCACTGCAGACTAAGGATCTGGTTACCAGGGTTTGGTTTTAGGATCCAGATTTCCAGGTTACTTTTTTTCTTCTTTCTGACCCTCACCTTTGCCAGCTGTTGGTCCTCTATCTGTATCTGGCCAGCCCGGTGTAGGTAGGTGTTGGGTGGGACTGTTTGTGCCCCGGACACAGTGTGTATTGTACCCTTGCATTTGGACCTGTTTTTCTAACAGAACGATGGTCGGCTAAGGTTGAGCCGCCAGGGTATCATCTTCAAGAACAGTAAGACAGGCAAAGTGGATAACATCCAGGCTGGGGAGCTGACGGAAGGCATCTGGCGCCGAGTCGCCCTGGGCCATGGACTTAAACTGCTTACAAAGAATGGCCACGTCTACAAGTATGACGGCTTCCGAGAATCGGTGAGGTGTCCTGTGGCCATAAACCCCCGTTTAGGGATCCCTGGGTGGCGCAGCGGTTTGGCGCCTGCCTTTGGCCCAAGGCGCGATCCTGGAGACCCGGGATCGAATCCCACGTCGGGCTCCCGGTGCATGGAGCCTGCTTCTCCCTCTGCCTATGTCTCTGCGCCTCTCTCTCTCTCTCTCTCTCTCTCTCTCTCTCTCTCTCTGTGACTATCATAAATAAATTAAAAAAAAAATTAAAAAGAAAACCGTTTACTGTGCCACGTTGTTTATTTTTAATCTAGAAAGAGTTGGGGCTCCTTTGATGGCTGTGTAATTGCTAATTTTGGCTCCTTAGAGCAGGGCCATTGCGGCCATGAAGCACGGTTCAGCTTTGGATGTCTTGTGCTTTGACTCCAGAAGATTTTCTGTTATTGTGATATTTTGGTGGTTTCTGCTCATTGCCTTTATCCAAATTCAGAGTCTTGGTACTTTAGTTTGAGTTTTTTTGTTTTAATGTTTCGACATGTTTGAGTTAAAGACTGTACTGCATTTGAATTTCACTTTCATCAAAGCACTGCCCACACAAAGTCAGAGAGCACGGTGAGGCACATAACCAGGAATGTCATTTCCATACTTTCCTCCTCCCCTGCTCTGACATCCAGTCCCCAGCAACAGCTTCTTTCAACAGTGGGTTTGCTGATAGAAGGTATATCGGGGCAGTTTGTCAGAGAGAATCCCAGAATGTGTTAAGGCCACTGGGGCTTACAGGGATTGCTCTCTCCCCCTCTGCCCACAGGAGTTTGAGAAACTCTCTGATTTCTTCAAAACTCACTATCGCCTGGAGCTGATGGAGAAGGACCTCTGTGTGAAAGGCTGGAACTGGGGAACTGTGAAGTTTGGTGGTGAGTCCTGGGTAGACTGAAGTTTGCAGGAGAAGGTTGGATGAAGAGTTTCAGCCTTTACCTTATTATGCTCTTTTTGTGCTACTGTTTCTGATTTCCTGTCAGTTTGTAACTCATCGCCTAGTTACTGAGGACTGGCAGCAGATGAGGCCTGGTCTTGAGGGTGCAGTATGACCAAATAGCTCAGTGTCTGGCGGGAGCATTGTTTTTGCAGACTTGAGGGAAGAA